AATGACAGTTCTGTGATAACGGTCCGAGAAACTTGGATCACTCGTGTGCTACGTTTCTTTTACTGAAGGACAGTTCTGTGATAACGATCCGAGAAACTTGGATCACTCGTGTGCTACGTTACTTTTACTGAAGGACAGTTCTGTGATAACGATCCGAGAAACTTGGATCACTCGTGTGCTACGTTACTTTTACTGAATGATAACAGTTGTCAGTAGGTTTAACAGATCATTTAACACTCAACTCACTAGATGGTTGAGAGGGAGAACGGTTGAGAATTATCCATGTTCTGTAATTTTTATAAATGTACGTTTTTATTCTGTACTGAGCTGCAGTCGATCAAATAAAACCAACTACAACCTTTTCAATAAGAGCAAGTAAGGCGTGTTCTGTACGAAAGTTAAATATTAGGCGGCTAAGTCCACGTTTAGAATTTTCAACTCTACGTCAATGTCGCCATCTCGTGACAAACAAAAACGTGAAAAATACTTAATATCTGAATATTATATACGAACGAACTTTTACATTTTATTTATAATTAAGTACGGTATTAAGTACTTTCTAGGGTGCAATTACTGCAGTAAAACACGTTAATTTAATGTGCATTCAATTTGTACAACAAGGTATTTATTGAGTTATAATAAACAGCTGTATACAGAAGCTGTGTGTGTACTAAAAATCTGATTATTAATTCAACATGGGTGTATAAAAAAAGCGAGTTTGCGATAAACTATGGTGTACTAAACAGATAAAAAGATTTGGTTTTTTCTAGAAAACTGAAATACAAAGGTTTCCTGCGTTATATTAAAACAATTTTGAAGCCTCGCATAGTTATAATCCATGTCCGGCCAAGATCTATCTGACGGCTGTGCATCTTGACAACAACCCTGCAGTGTAGGTTTCATTGCAAAAGGTTCCGTTGTAAGACTGTCATACCTAAAGCGTGCCCCTTCTTCCTGCAGGCTTTCCATAAGCCATCTAGCGTAGAAGGACGACGGTTTTCCTCCACCCATTTCAATAATTTGATTCTAGAAACCCGTAGGCGCTGCATCCAGTGACTCCACCAGTATATTCTCTTATGGAATAGCATGAATACTTGTTTCATTCTCTAGTTGCTGGAGATAAGTGACGGTTGAACGTATACGACTATACGTGGTGGAAGCTACATGTGACTTGTGTCACTTTTACAGATGGTATTCTTCTTGATTATGTTGCATACTGTCGCCTGAGACACTTTGATGATTTTTTGCAACTTACATTTGTGTTCGTAGACTCTCATTTGTGACACACTTTGTTTACAGCAGGTGGGGTACGACTTTTGACAAGTCTAATTCTGGTGCCCCAAGTTGATCCATATAACTTTGTGTTCCAATTCTATTAAGTAGATGGCAATTCCCGATCTGAACACATCTGTATTATATGGGTGTACAAATAATTTGCGTTACATACCATTCGTAAAGGTAATCAATTTCCAGTTATATCAAACTTCCTACAAAACGCCAAACAACGTTAAGTTTTAGTTCTGATACATGTTGTTCCACCACAATTTTATATCGCCTGTGGTTGTCACATGACTTGTTGATTTACATATTGAAAATCATTTTAATTGTTAAGTACGGTAGTATTTAATAGGGATCGACAAGGTTTACAAATAATTCACGCGCCGAAAAACCACCCTAAAACCGACCATTCAAAGTATTGGTTACGATATATTATACGCATATATACTAATAATACGCTAAGGAGGTCGCTAACATTTCCGGTATAACAATTCAAAATTTTCTAAAACAGGAACGTCTTCATCTACCTGATCACGTCAGCGGGG